AAAGAGTGGAAGCAGGGAGGCCTAACAGGAGGCTGCTATGCTATAATGCTATAAGGATGTTGGTGTGTTTAGATTTGGGTGGTTGTGGTGGTGAAAAAGCACCCAATGATCTCAATTTTCCTATTAAAGACGATGTAATAAGTGACCGCCAGATGACTGAAGTGAATTTTAAAAATCTTGAATAGGAAACTGAGATGTAGAAAACAAAGAATAGGAATGATAGGGCTTCTTTGGGTTGAACAATATTAACAGCATCCCCAGGAAATCAGTGTTATATAACATTTAATAAACAATTAAGAAAAAGGAATAACATTTAATAAACAATTAAGAAAAAGGTACACAAGTTATACTCTGCTTTCCACATGTGAAATATCAAGCCAATCAATTTGGAGCTCTTTTGGACCATTGCTGAAGCTATGTGAGTAAGCTGTAAAGTGACAGGTGATTTGCCACATGGACAAGAGTAAGGCAGCTCATGTGGGCCAGACAATTCAGATGATACCTTTAAGATAATGAGCTTTGGACTGCATGTATCCACCGAAGAAAGGGATTTAGGTCGCTGTAGATTATTTCTTCAAGACATCAACTCCTGTAAAGTCCAAAATGCCAGCAAAAGTTCTAGTTGTTCAAAATAAAGACAAAATATCAGCTTAAACAAAACCTCAGGAAACCCCTTTTGGAGCTCAGTGTGCAATGCTGATCACTGCATCCTAAGAACAGCCAAAGAAAGGCAGCTAAAATGATTAAAAGATTAAAAGAGGAGTTTTTGTTTGATGGATTAAATGACTACCTGAGACAAGATGAAAGTCTATAAAAGCATGAAAGGTCCAGAAAAAGTAAAGATAGTCCTTTTATACAATCCCATGGCTGTGAAACTAGGGGGCAAAAGCAGCCATTGGAGGGCATATAAAAGAAGGTACTTCTTTAGACAGAGGGTCCTTAAGTATTCTCCAACATGTGGAAAGATATGTGGTAGCAGTAAACAGCAGTGCGGATGAGAGGCAAGCCTACCCAACAGTCCTTCGTTGGGATAGAAACTTCTTTGGTTTGGTGCGTTCTCCCTACCCACCCCCCTAATCACTGTGGTATACGACCACAGACATTCAAAAAGAGAAAGAAACACTGACAAAGAGATTCAAAAGATTCAAAATGCTAATATTAAATCTCATTCTGAGTCAAAACAGGATTGAAAATAATTCAAAGGTAAAAGATTTATAATAGATCATTAAGGAAAATTAAGTCTGGGGTATATCCTTAATCACGTTGTGATTCGTATCATGGAGATATACTATGTCCTTGCAAAACACAGTATATCTATATTTGGTAGTCTGACTTGGGTGAATAAAATAAGAATATTTTCTAAATACTTTGTCAGCATCTGGGTTCTCCTAGTCAGAAAGTGACAGTTATTGGTTGAAAGAGGGATTAGATCAGTTGAACTTCACCCACAGCACAAGTCCTTCAACAGTGACGAATTAACAGAGGAGACGGAGACTTCTGATCTAACCGTTACTCGCGTGTTGAACAGTTAGCAACCCTGGCTATCGGATCCGTATTGATCTTCTGTCACAGGTTTAAAAAAAGAAAAAATCAGAGGGAAAGCGGAGGGTGATATCTAGAATGTCTTTGAGTCGAGAGATTGTAAAAATGGGCTGCAAGCAACACATGGGCCCTTATTTTTAGGCCAAAATTTAAATATATGAGCAAATACATATGCTTTCTCTTTCCGAAAAAATATTAGAGTCAAGAACCTCATTCTCCCCAAGAAAACAGTACCCTTTCCACCTTCCCAAACGTCCTTTACCTGCTTCTATCTATCTCGGAGTTAAGGAACTTTCAGCCCCGCCTCTCTGCTTGTCCAAGCTCCGCCTTCTCGGTCCACCTGTGTGCCCAGCTCCTGACGTTACCATTCAGCTTCAGCGGCTTGCAGGATTCCGGCTCCTGATTGGTTCGTCTGACCACGGCCCGGCAGCCCACCAATGGCAGCGACTTTGGGTGGAGGGGTGCCCACATCCAAGATGGCGCTCCCAGGAGCTGGGAGCGGGTGACCGGCGGCCGGGAAGCGGCCTGGGTTGGCCCTCTGATTGCGGGGGCCTGGGGGCATCTCGCCCGGCACCCCCTGGCCCGCCCACAAGGCCTTCCCCGGGCGAGAGCAATGGCCGCCGAGAACAGCAAGCAGTTTTGGAAAAGGAGCGCCAAGCTGCCGGGGAGGTGAGCCCAGGACGCTGAGAGGAAGAGAGTATTGGATCAAACCCTTCCAGATACTAAGCCCGAAATCCCGCGGGCCTGGGGCGCCACTGACCTGGGAGGCTGGTTTGGGAAACCTTGGCTGGGGGAGCTGGGGCTGCGTGGAGGCTGCAGGACAGCTGTCAGGCTGAGGAGCAGGCACCGAGCTTTGGGGATGGATGAGTGTGGGAGCAGATCGGGGTCTTGGGGTGGAGGTTTGAGGAGGGGCTGCCCTCAGCTGGGAAGTGGCCGGAGTCTGGGCGTAAGGGATAGTGGAGTTGGGTGAGTAGATAGTGTCCGTCCTGGGTTAGGAGGGCCATCCCCAGAGCTGCTACTCACTTAAAAGAGAACTCCCTCTTGAGGGGGTCTCCACCACGCACAGGTGTTTGTTTGCACCAGGATGGCCCTTCCGTTGTTCCCCCAGCTCAGCAGGTATGAATCCTTTTCCTGGATCCCACAAGGTTCTTCTGGGAGTTTGGGACAGTCTGCAGGAGGTCAGAAGAAGTGAGGAAAATTCTCAAATTCAACCTTACTTTATCTAGAGTTGGCCTTTTCCCATTAGGAATTATTACAGGGTGACCCGAGAATTGAGGTTATTTCTTTACCTTTTTCTAAGGATTTGTTCAACCCCAAGTGACGTATTACCCCCTGCATTATAATGTTCTTTTTGTGTAAATGCACTAATTTTTTTCATTCTTCAGTTGTTTGGTTGGAGAGCAGACCTTCTAAGCTACTCCCCCCCCCACCCCCCTTTTCTGTGTATGTTGAGATGCTTAGCAATTGTACATCCATCAATCTGTTGGTTTACAGTTTCAATTTGTTTTGGGCAGAGTCCTGAGTAATATAAAGAGGAGTGTATGTTTCAAATGTGAGTTTAAGATTCCTGCCAGCCACAGTCTACTTGGTGATGAAATTCATGTTTGGTTGTGTCCCACATGCTACCTTTCCTAATTGATTCAGGTCTTTTCCTTCTGGGATAATCCTTTGAACTTATGGTTTTTTTGTTTGTTTTTTTAATAGCTAGAGAGAAATGAGGGTCAGTGCTGGCTATTCAGTAGTCTTATTTTATTTAGAATCCAGTTAGACATATGGAGAATAGAGTGGGAATCAGCTTTTAGTAATACAGTATTAAAATAATGCAAGGGAATTGCAGAGATAGCTTCAGATTAAAGTGCTGTGGAATTACAGTGTTAATATTAGTGCTAAAGACTTTTATGTTTTAGATAAGCACCACTTCCTGCCAACTGATTCCTTTTCCTTCCTGGTCTGTGAGCTCTCCAGTCTCACTAACTGTTGTCCTCTGGGGTTTTCCATAGTGAGATCATTAAATTTGACATCCTAAGGTTATAGTCAGAATCAATGGGAAAACTGTTCAATCAGGAAACAGTATATGAGATGTGGGACCTGACATGGTCTTTTGTGCCTACTGACTGCTAGTTGTTATTAACAATCTTTTGTTTTCTGTATTTCCTCTTTTGGTCTATAGTAACATTCATCTTTTTTCAAAGCACTACTTTTGTAAGATAGGAAGAGTTTTTTTTTCAAGTTTCTGGATTCCTTTTTCACTTTGAAAAGTGTAGAGGGATAGAGGAGAGACCATTTGAGTTCAGAAAGACTTAGGTTATTATTTTACTCTCTACCTATGTGATCAAGGACAAATGATTTGCTCAATTTCTCTGGAGTTCAGTTTCTTTATCTATGAAATGAGGATAAAAATACTTTCCTCAGGGTTACTGTGAGTACTAAATTAAACATCCTATTTGTAAAGAACCAAGGGCACTGTTTGTTTAGCACATTATAGTTGCTCAATAAATATTGATTATTAGTACTACTGTTATTATTAGAGCAAGTAAACATTTAAAAGTCTGTTTCTCTTGTGACAACATGGATGGACCTTGAGATAATCATGCTAAGAGAAATAAGCCAGACAGAAAAAGTTGAAAATCACATGATATCACTTATATGTGAGATATAAACCTAAAAGCAACAAATGAACAGGACAAACAGAGACTCATGAACATGAACAATAGACTAGTGGTTACCAGACGGGAGTAGGGAGAGGGGAGGTAGATAGGGTAAAGGAGGTAACAGAAAGATAGAAATCTAACTATGGGAGGTGAACACAGCGTAAATATATATATGCCTTACTGTTAAATTGTACAGCTGAAAATTATTGGATTTCATTAACCAATGTCACCATAATAAATGAATGAATGAGCGAACAAATGAATAAAAAATAAATAAAAGAACGTTTCTCAGATCCTTACCCTAGTATTAGGTATTTATGTTCATTGTTTATCTTAAGACATTAAAATGTTGCCACAGTTGATAACAGTTTTTAGTACCTTGCTTGTTGAAGAAAAATATTACTTAGTTGTGTGCTTTTAGCAGGGAAGCCCCAGGAGTCCCTGGTTATGGAGAAAAACTGCTTTTAGATAGTAAGTGCTTTGATTTAAAGAAAATGTTAGAGCATTTTCTCAAGAATAGAATTTTTGCATTTGTGCTCTTTCCACCTTAGTGAAGAACTTTCTCCTGGGTGGAGAAATGACATAGATGACTGTGTTTAGATTCACTATAACCTAGAAGTGAAACTAGTTTACTCTCCTTTGCTAATTCAAAGGTAAAAATTCAAAGCAATGGCAGGGTTCTTTCAGTTTCTTTGATCATGATCCAGCAACCTTAATGACAACAAATAGGAATTATATTTAGTAAAATAGCCTAAGTTCATAATGAATTAAACATCCTTTTAAAAAACAACAGCTTTATTGAGATATAATTCACATATCATAAAAATTCACCCACTATTCAGTGGTATTGGTATGGTCGGTTTTGTACAACCATTGCCACTAATTTCAGAACATTTTTATCATCCCAAAAGAAACCTCATATCTATTAGTAGTCACTATTTCCCCTTACCCCCACTCAGCCCCTGGCAACCACTAATCTTTCTGTTCCTGTAGATTTACCTATTTCAGACATTTCACATAAATGGAATAATGTGATATGAGACCTTTTCTGGCCTCTTTTATTAAGCATAATGTTTTCAAGGCTCATTCATGTTGTACCATATATCGGTATTTCATTCCTTATTATGGCTAAATAGTATTCCATAGTATAGATACACTTTATTGTGTTTATCTTTCATCAATTGGTGGACATTTGGGTTGTTTCCACTTTTTGGCTATTATGAATAATGCTACGAAATTCACGTGCAGTTTTTTGGGGGGGAGTGGATTTATGTTTTCCATTCTTTTGAGTATATGTAGAAGTGGAATTTCTGGGCCATATGGTAACTCGATGGAATTAAACATCTTTTTAAGTTCTCTCAGTTATTCACAAGAACCCATGTGCTTGATACACCAAATGGTCCTTGCATGGATGCCTAGGAAGATAGGAGGCAATATGTACCACGTGGTTAAGAATGCAGGCTCTGGAAACTTGCAACTAGTTGATAAGTCCTGGAAATCTAATGTACAACATAGTGATTATAGTCATCAACACTGTATTATAAACTTTGAAGTTCCTGAGAGACTAGATCTTAAGTGTTCTCACCAGAAAAAATAAATGATAATTATGTGATGTGATAGAGGTGTTAGCTAACACTTTGGTGGTAGTCAGTTGCAATATATAAGGGTATCAAGCCAACACATTGTACACCTTAAACTTTCATGTTTGTCAATTATATCTCAAAAAAAAAAAAAAAGAGGATGCAGGCTCTGGAACCCTGGGTTCAAATTCCCAGCTCTGCCACTTTTGGCAATGTGACCTTGGGCAAGTTACTTACCCTCTCTGTGCCTCAGTCTCCTCACCTGTAAAACAGGGCCCCAAAGCTTTTATGAAGGTTAATTGAGATAATGCATAGAAAGTATGGAGGAGGTACTCGATAATATTAGCTATTATGAAAATGATAGTTGTACTTAAAGTGGCCCCTATTTTTATTTGTTTCTTCCCCTTGCTCCAGTTTCTGAAACTAGAATTGAAAAACTTTAATCAGTCGTGTATCTGGAGCCCCCAGTGAGTCCTGGGTAGGGGAAAAAAAATACTTGTTAATAATTAGGCAGAGGGTTTATAGAGGCACAAATAAGCCTAATGTGAGATAGCTGTGGTATCAGGTGTTCTTTAGTGATGAGGCGTATGATTTTGAGCAATGGTTCTCAAACTTCAGTGAGTCCCCTGGAGGGCTTGTTAAAACATAGATTGCTAGGCCTCACTTCCAGAGTTTCTGGTTCAGTAAGTCTAAGAGGGAACTTGAGAAGTTGAGCTTCTAAGAAGTTCCCAAGTGACACTGCTGCTGCTAATCTGGGGCCTGCACTTTGAGAACCACTAAGAAAAGAGCCTCAAATTAGTTGAAAGAAATGTGAGTTCCAGAGCTGGAGGCTTTTGCCATATGGATCTTGAACAGTTAATGCATCTCACACTTAATACACCCAAAAGAACTCTTGAATTCTACATCTGCCCACTCCTGCAAAGCTACTCTTTTCATTTAACTTAATGGTCCTACCTTTCACCAAGTTCCTCAGACCCAAAATCCTCATGTCTTTGATTCTTTTCCTTCCTGTCAGGTCAAATTCAGCAGCAAGTCCTGTTGGTTCATCTAATATATCCTGAATCTGAACTGTTCTTACCACTTCTATCTCTACTACCACAGATCAAACTGAGTCCTCTCTTGCCTAGACTACTGCTGTAGCCTTCTAATTGGATTTCTTGCTTCTCTTCTTGCCTCTCTTACAGACTTCTCATTTGTAGTTAGAAAAAAAATCCTCACTCTGAGTCTTCCAAACCCTTCATGGTTGGAAAGATAGGCCTAGCTGTGGACTTTGATCTTTACCCCAAGAGCAGTGGAATGCCATTAGAAGGTTGATAGCGGCAGTGACATAATTCACAGATTTGCATTTATAAAAATAGTCTGAAAACTAAATAAATAATTGAAAATTAAAAAATTCTGGCTGCCCTAAGGAAAATGGCCTGGACAAATGTTTTCAATA